AGTAATGTTAATGATGATGAACGTATTTGTACAATAGCTGATTCATCAACATGTTCATCAAGAACTTTTGTTGGTGTAAATATATAAATAAATAATTTACTTAATAATTGTTCTGTATACATAGCTATATGATGTAATGTACTATTTCCATTAAGTAAATAAATAAGTGTATCAAGACATTCAATATATAAATAAACACATTTATTTATAATTGATTTTGTACATAAATGTATTAATGTTGTCAATGATTCAAGTGAAACAGATGGATAATCAGCTGATAGCACCTTTGTTTTACAAAGATTAACAAAAAATTTTGCTGCATAATATGATATAACAACAGGTCGATGAATTTTAATTAATAAACTTGATATTATTTCACATAATGTTTGATTTGTTTCAGTATGAATTGTATCATGTAATTGTTGAGCAATAACAGCATTTTCATAACATAATGAACAAAAAAGTTTCAAACAAGCTCCAACAATATATTCACTTATAAGACTAAAAAAAAAGAAAATTAATCAATATCGATATTGAATGAAATATTTTTCTATTTCAATTCATAAAATAATTCTAGATAATCTTTGTCAATTATAGATCAAGCAAATTTTTATGAATATTGCAAAAGTCTAACACTATGTCAACTAATATCAAGTTAGAATAAATATCTAGTGAAGTAGAATTAAACTATTTTGATTGTAGTAAAACTTAACATGTCTGATTAAAAAAAAAATTTTCAAGTAAACTTTGGTTACAGATAAACTAGTAAAATATTGATCGGCATGAATTTTAGCTAAAGATTAGTGACGAAATCAAATGAGTATCTACATCAAATCAACAAGTTGAATTCAATAATCAAATATTTGAAATCCAAATATTCACAGAACCACACATATCAAATAATTCTCTTGCTGATGATGCTACCAAAAATACACAAATGTAGCCAATATCTGAATATCTCTAAAAGTCTTCAATAATTCTATTCAACTTTCATATTTGATATTAGTATCCTACTCTTCGTATCTCTCTCATAAGGATATACTAGTAATAATTGATCGCCGCTACCCGATCTAATGATGAAACCAATGAATAAGTCAAAAGTTTACGATGAAGACAAATATGTTAGTTAATTCAGGCTTCATTATAATGACGGCAACTAATAGTATGAAAAAGTCAGTCGTCACATGTTCATTGAGACTGACTACTGACTGATTATCGTTATCGTAGTTTCTCTAGTCTCAAATTCATAAGATGTAGTTCGTACTGAAGTTTTGATATTGCTTGTTGTATTTCGAAATTTTATTTTTGAGTGAAAGAACAATTGAAGATCGATCTTTACAAACAGTTTTGACCAATGTTTTTCTTCAAAATACAATCAAAACTCATTGAAAAACAAAATATGAATTAGTTCCTTATATGCAGTAAAAATCTTCTACGTTATATGATAAAGTTAAATCTTTTGTAGAATAGATTTCATTAAGATAGACTTAAAAATATTCATATTTGATTATGTATCATGTGTTTTCTTGAATATTATAAATTATTTTGTATTTATTTATTAATTTATTTACCTGATTTGACTAATTTTATTATTAATATAATTAGTTTGTTGTTTATCATTAATGTTTTCTACAAGTAAATGCATAATAGCTGGTATAATATTTTTATTAATCAATTGTTTTTGTCGTTCATTATTAGCACATAAACAACATAAAATTTCTACAATTGATAATTGTGTAGATTTCGATATTGATAATAAACGAATAAGTACATCAAATAATTGAGAATTTTCAAATAAAATATCAATAGGTGAAAATTGTTCATTAGAAATAATTTGTGTAGTTGAAGAAAAATCTTCTGATTGTGTTATTAATGATGGAGGTTTATGTATATCTTGATCACATAAAAGTACAAATGGTATTGGTGTTAAAAATGGATTTGAATAATCAATTTGTGATAATGTTGTTGTTGATGATGATGATGATGATAATTTTGGAAGAAAAAATGAACGTAAACATCGAAGACATGATTCACATAAATTAATTGAATCAATTTCTAATGATAATAATGAAAATAAATGTTGTATACAACCAAGTTCAATTAAACGATTAACAATATTTTTATTATTTGATTTAACAAATGATGATATACAATCAATTATTTCTATCAGTAATTCTGTATGATTTAATGATGAAAATTCTTTAAGTAAATTAAAAAGTGTTTCAGCTGTACCAACATGAAAAAATGCTGTTTTACAACGTTTTGAACCAATTACTAAGTTCTTAACCTAAAAGAAAAATATAGATACGATTAGAAAATTTGTACTTATATTCAAATACAGAGTCATACAATACGATTGGATACGTTTATAAATTTTATAATATTTAAAATATCAGTCTTAATAATTTTTCATTTATTACACCTGATCTTAGTCATTACATCTATCTTAAACATGAATTTGAGTATGGGTCATGAGGGTACCTTTAAAGAAAGAATGAAAAGTCACGCATGATATTCATATTCGAGAAGAACATAGTTGGATTCATAAGTTTTTAAATCTGTCTTAATTTCAATTCTATTCTTAGCTAGATCGATATAATTCAAATCATAATACAGACAAAAAAATCAAGAATAATAAATTGAAATAAAAAACATCTCAGAAGTAACAATCAAAGTATTCATAAATGTTCTTGTGTCTTTTGTTCGAAGAAAAACGAACACGAACTATACTATTATGTCCTTTATTGTAGAAAAATTATTTACATCATGATCGATTTAATCAAACTTAATAGAATATGAATACCTTTTTCTTATTAATATAAATGGAGTAACAATACAATAAATCATAACTAGAAAAACATTAATTTATATATACATCATCTTTCTAATATAATAATAGATTAGGCATTGTCTATTATGTGCAATCGAATAAATATTACCAAGAAGATTAGAATATTTGAATAACAATCATTTAGAACTAGACAAACTGTAATAGTATTAATTTTTGTTTTAATTTGATTTGATTTAAATTTTAAAAAATTCGAATCAAGTCTATTATAAATTTATACTGATCAATATGTAGAATATTAGTCTCTCTATAATCTTATGACTGTTGCTATTACGTAGTTATTAACATTCCACTCGAATTGAATACTACAGATGTCGATCTAAATACAATGATTATTGGAAAATTGAGTACTAATCTAATTATTTAAAATGCTAAAATATGTTCTAATAGTTTTTATAATTAATGAAAATGATGAGACTAATCGGTAAATTTTCGGTAATACAAAAAGTTGTTTTCAACACAGAAGTTTAAATCAAAATAATGAAAAAATAATTACGTATAACTCAAAGAATTTAATTCTTTGTATGTATTTATCAATGTTTAATTATTTTTCTTTTTGAATAAGAATATTTAAAAAAATTTAATGTTCATTAACACTATTTATATTATTTTACCTCGATAACAGCACGTATTCGTTGTTCTTCTTCACCATTTTCAACAAGTTTTTTCAATAAAATTTCTTCTTCTTGTGTAGGTAAATCATCATCATACGAAGGCATAGTTAATTAATATATTTTTCAAAAGAAATATCTCGATCAGCTGTTATAAATCGACAAAAAAAATAACAAATAACAACACGTTTGGAGTATCTATGTAATGTATCAATAAAAAAAGTATAAAAAAATGTCTAAAGATATGATTGGTTAGTTAAAGAGACAAATAAAAATGAATATAGAAATTTATGTTAGTGAATGAATTTCGTTATTTATTTAAAAAAAACACGCACACGCACAACATGATGATCATTTATATCTTACGTTCTCACACTTCATCATCTGTACATAAATTGTACAAGTGAGAATAATACAAAAAAAAAAAAATAGAAATATTTATTTTATGTCACTCTCGTTCGGCATTCCTTGTTTTTTCTTCTCTCAATCCTGTATCGTTCGGTTTTGTTTATTCTTGCCCATTTATCTTATTCATAACAATAACATGTTGATCATTATTTAAATTCAGTAATATTATTAGTATGATTCACGTTCTTTTAAATCCATGTGTTAAAGTCATTCTGTTTATGTGCAACGTTATACGTGTAATATTTTGTTATACTGTTTTAAACATATATAGCAACTTTTGTCAAATGTACTTCTATTTTTGCTGATATACTCATTTATTTTTTATTATCGTGTATGTGTGATTATTTATTTTTCATTGTAAAAATTTTGTTTTAAATAAAATAATATAGGCAATAGAAAATAATGCTCATTTTTTTTTGTTCGGCGACTATTTTGTCAATCTCAATAGTCTATAATTAAAAGTTTGAAATAAGTTAACAGTATATTGTTAATTGTAGTGTCGATATGATCATAAAAAAAAGAATAACAGTTTTCTTATTGTAAATGTCATTCCTTTTTTTTTTATTATATGTATGATTGAAATTGATTTATATATATATATTTGAATGAATACTGAAAATGTTGTATATTTTGTAAACGAAATGCAAATATCAATAGTTATATAGTATATCAGTCTCTAAATGTTCCTGTTAACAGCGACAATATTTCTTTATCGTTTTTGTTTCTAGTTGATCGTTAGAATAAATATTCCTGCTGTTGTCATCCACCATCTGGCAAAAATAGGATAGAAGACTCTTGTCCTTTGAATGGTGTCTTGTAAGTCGTCAATAAACAGGCCTCTCTTTCCTCCCCCCCCACAACAAAATACAAGAGAACAAGAATAGACAGAAAAGGATAAGACAAAAAATATAAGGAAAAAGGAAAAAAGAAATGCAGAAACGACAATAACAACATCATTTATTTTATTCAAGGTAAATAAGTTCTAACCGAAAAATTCCATAGTTATTTTAAAAAAATATTCTAATAACAGAACAATACAATTTAACTGATATTAACTAATATCGATTAATTTATTAAGTTTAGCATTGGTGTTTTTTTTTCTTCATACAGTTTTTTTTACATAAATAAACTAGATGAATTATGAAATGGAATCTTATCTACAACAACATCAATCTCATATCTATCAGGGTAAAGTTGATTAGTCGTATTCTGTTCGTAGTTTAGCTCAAAAACAATAATTTATGTCCACATGTCATTTTTCTTGCCAAGCAGAAGATCGATGTATAACTATTATGACAGATTTCAATGAGTTTAAGATTTTTATTATTAGAACTTACGAAACCTATTTGAGAATATTCGGTAATATATATAAAAAAATATTTTCAATCTTATCCAATATCTTAAAAACTAAGTACAAAAAAAAATTTTAATCGATCTAAATTCATCATAGTAGTTTCATCTAAAATCAACAAACAGTTATGTTTACATATTCTAATTAATATGATATTATTCATTTTTCAGCTCTTCGTTTGTTTAGTCTCTACATAATATTATCTTTATTATTCTTTTAGTCCATCCATTGATAAACAAAGTTTTTCAAGTACAGCAACAATCAGAATCAAATTTTACTGGAATAAATAATCGTATAACTATGTTTAATATAACTGATCAACTATCAACAGTTTCCAATGCAAATTATCGAACAATATCAGGTAAAAATGTTTTTTTTTGTTTATTTCAACTAACAAAAAAAAATATAGATCATCAAATACAACTTTCATCAGAACAATTAAGAGAAAAATTACGAAAACAACTTGAATATTATTTTTCTAGGTAAATTTTTTCAATATCAATAAAACAAAATAACTAAAATATTTTCTTTTGTTTTATGACATAAAGAGAAAATATGATTCATGATAGTTATTTACAATCACAAATGGATGCTGATAATTATGTACCAATATCTTTAATTGCTAATTTTAAACTTATTAAATGTCTTACACATGATTTACAATTAATTATTGATGTTCTTAAAGGTAAAAATACAATAGAGATTTATTATAATCTAATCAAAATATTCAATTACAGTTACCTCTTCTACAGCTATATGGAGAATAATTCATTCAAGATTTTTAACAACTCTTTGAGTAGATAGATCTCAATAAGTAAAGCAGGATTTGTCATAGAATCAAAGCTCTTGGATGATGAGGTCAGAATGACATCAGTTTTTTTGTCTTCATTACTCTCAGATACTATGCTCGATCAAGCTAAAAATCTTTTTATGGATGTTGGAAACTATTTTAAGTGATTATCTCGTTTTTCTTTCACTTCATTGACACACCTTTTTAAAAAAAGACTTGTTTTTTGTTTTTACTAGGACAAATTTTGTAAAATATAAGAAAAAAAAAGTTCATTGTCTATTACTATACTGGTAAAATGGAAGTGAAATAAAATTTATTTTTCGTTATCTTGGTAAATACTTATCGTTGTCTTTTCTTTCTATTGATTTTTGCCTACTGCGCATTTGATGACGTTGTTATCACGCTTGAAGAGTACTTTTACTTAAACATCTGCGAAATTCCTACAGTTAGAGAAAAATAACATATTGATGGAAAGTTATCAACTGTTCTCATGTCAATTTTAGATAAATGAAGAAGATGTGAGAGAGAACGGAATGTTATTGACAAATGAACAAATGCAAGACACATAGTATTCTTTTCGAATTAATTATATATGTTGATCGTACATTTCAAAAATTGTATTTTTTAAAGTCAAAAACATTTTCAAAAATATTTTTACTTCATAGATTGATAGAGGTTGGTTCATAGTAGATAGATCAATGAAAAATAAAATATTATAAAAATTTTGATTTTCATGTTGAGAAGGGAGACGATACTCTTAATGAAAACCAATCATTATTATTTTGTTATTTTATGAAACACAATCTACAATGAATATTGAAGTATAGGGATAGAAATTTGCACCCGTCGTCATCTTCTCCTTTCATCAACCGTGCTAGACATTGTTGAAATATGATGACAGAACGTATGTCAATAACGTCTTATTATACCATATGAACTCTTTCTTTATTGCATTTCTAGAGAATTAAATAAAAGGATTGGAAAGAAATATCTCCCAAGATAGATAAAATAAAACAATCTGCGTCTGATAAGTAACAGCAGTTAGATCGAATTTCACATTTTAATCTCTAAGGAATTATACTAACGACTTTTATGATTATATTTAAACTCATTATATACTTTATATTACGTAGAAATTTTTGTTTTAGAATCACCATCAGTTGAAGTCGATATTGAAGAGAAAAAAGTTCGTTCATCAGATAATCCAATATATCTTCCAACACGAAAACGTTGTATTATTATATTACGTAATGTACCATTAGATGCAACAGAAAATGAAATATTAGAATTATTTTTACATAAATCTTGTTCAGTATCAGCTATTGCATGTGAACGAGTATTAGAATCAAATCATTCAGATTGTTGGTATGTAACATTTAATAGTGAAGATGATGCACAAAATGCATTTTTATATCTAACAAGAGAAAGTATTTCAATACGTGGTCAAAAAATTTTGGTAAAATCATATTTTTTTTTTTTGTTTAGAAAAACAAAACTTTATTTTTGTGTTTCATAGGCACGAATGAAAGCATGTCTATGGCAAAAACCTGTCGTACCATCAAACGATAGTATAAAAGATTCATCTATACCGAAAAATTCTTCAGTACCTCCAATACAAGAACAAACAACTCCTGTTTATATGCAAGCAATACCAATAAATCCTACAAATCAATCATCATATACTGGAAATCTATCACAACAAACAACATTTAAACCTCGTCATGTACAAGTATTACAACAATATTTACCAGTGAATTATAATTCTAATATATCTCTATATCCACATAATGTACCATCCACACTTTTATTTACAACAAATATGCAATCATTAACTATGAATTATCATCCACAAACACAATTTCTAAATAGAAATGTAAATTTTTGATATAGAATATAATATTTTGCTAATGTATTTATTTTTTTTTAGCATTCTATTTTTCCAATTAATTTTTGGTATATACCACCAACAACAGATTCATATTCACCTATGGTAAAAATAAATTTCTTAATTTACAGTGTTGCGAAAAATTATAAAGTCACCAAGTACTGTTGACTACTTTCGAATTTTATTCTTTATCAATATCTTTTCGTTTCAAATTCACTGCTAATGTCTATCTCTTAGTTGCCGTGACTTTTTTTCTGCCATGTAAGGAAAAATGTATGCAGTATAAAATCAAGACACTAATTTATTATTAAAAAATGAGATATGTCGTAAGTGAAAGAAAAATGACTGTACAACATATATGACCTCCGCCGATAGACTAATTCTAATAAGATAGCATTCTTTGAAATAAGTCATATGAACTGATCATTTGATTAGAACTATTTTCACTTGTTTCTATAATGCGGACATGTATTCGATTCGTGGTCGTTTTTGCCCTCCAATTATGGAAAAACGTTCGTAATCAGGAAAACACGCTGCCAATATATTGGCAGTGAATGTGAAACGAAAAAAATGTTGATCAACAATGGTGAATCCACGATTTTTATGATAACAGACGATCCGATGAAGATAAGGGACTATCATAATCATAGAATGTGTTTAGTAGCTCATTAGAAGTAGTATTAGCTCAATTTAAACTACTTCTACCTAGGAGCCACGCAGAAAAATCTTTTTGCGGCGGTTGGTGATGTTTTTAATTTTTCATAATACTATACTACGAACGAAAACTTGATCAAGAAGAATTTATTTTCTTTTTACAGTTTGTTCGTCCCAAATCTTTAATTCGAGTAGGAAAGTTTTCATACTTATTTTAGTTTAACCTTATTATTGAATGCATAGGTATCATAGTAAATTGCAATTTATCATTTCGTAGAATGATTCAAAAAGATTTTAAACCTCACTAGATATAGTACTTGCATGTATTTTAGCTTTAAAAAATTAGGCAAAACAAAGTAGTCAATTATAATCTGTAAATAATAAGAGAAAAGTTGATGTCATTTTTCTAGCAATTGTAATAACAAGATGAAAGTTCGATTTTGTTGTATATTCATAAAAAAAAAGAAAAAGAAAACTTTCAATAACCTATTTCCATTTATTATTTTCAGTCTTATAATATTCAATCTAAAACTCGAATAACAACAGCATCTAAACCACGGTAAATCATAAATGAATATAATTAATAAAAACTTCTTTTTTATAATTTATTAGTAATACAACAAAAATAATTTCTGATCATGTAGAACTGTCAAACATTAATAATCATTCAAATGAATTACTGAATTCATATCAAAACAATACTTCACAGTTCGTTTTCTTTTTTATTATCATAAATAAAAATCGAATTTGTCTTGTACTTTTAGTTTTGAAGATACTAATTCATCAATTTCTCATAATGAAACATTTTCATCCGATAAATCGACTATGGATGATTATCAAAATTCAAACACTGAATGTCGTTCATCAACGGAAATATCTAATGATAATATATGTAAATTGAAACAAACCGAAATAAATGATTCATTAATATCTCGATCTATGGAACAATTAACTACGACAAATGATTCTACTGCTCAACATGATTAATATCGAAATAAAAAATTATCATCAGAATTAACAAATAGTGCATCATTTCCTTCTTCTAACAATTACAAAGAGACAAAAAAAAAATACAGACTTTTTTATATGTTTGGTACTATAGAGATTACGATATTTTGTCTTACAGAGATAGATTTTTGCGTATTAGATAAATGAATTTCCCGACTTGTGTTGTTCTTGTTTTTTTTTTTTCTAACGCAAAATTTGTTTATATTTATATCTTAAGAATGCTGTAGATGATATGAAGGATGAATAAGAAGAAATAAAATATGCATGACTTTCTCTCAGAGAAGGCTCTAGATGTTTTAAAGATATTGAAGTTCAAGGATTTTTGTTCAGTCGGTTCAAGTAGATAAATTTTGTCAAGCAAAAAGAAGAAAGTTTTTTTCCGGAAGAAAAAAAAAAAGAGTTTATCTCATCTAAGTGATGAACGATTATCAATACGTTTCATTCAACAGTCCACAACACCAAGCTACTTTACAATAGTCCAATCTATTTGTAATTGTCCAAGTTAGACGTATGTCTATTCGTTCGCATCATGAATCTGTTGCAGGAATACGCGCAATTCACGCTTTTTATTACAGAAGCTGTTACAGCATTCTATTGGTAAGACATTTTTTCAAAAGATTGTACATAAAATGCTGAAAGTCGAGAGAATGGATTTATGTATGCATCGAGAGACTCCACAAGACTACCTATCAAGTCGGTATCCAGTAAAATTTTGATTTTCGATATAATTATTTAAAATAAAAGGTCTAGTCAAACCATAGCTAAATGCAAACTATTAGGTCTTTCTGACTTGTCTGTGAAAAATACTAATATATGCAAGTGACACACCTCCTGACACTGCATCCAAAAATCAGTTTCTTAAGGATGTTCTTAGTATTTTTCGCTTTTTTTCGCGTCCAATTCTTCGTTCAAGCTCGGAAACGTCTAAAAAGATGTGGAAATATCTTCTTTGTCTAAGTGGATAACGTATTCAGCTCGACAATACCGTTCACCAAATGATAATACTAATTCACAGATAAAACTGACAAGTTTCTAAAATGAACATTTTGTAGTATTTCGACTGCAGCCACGCTGAACCAAACCATTTCAAAAAAAACTTATGTATATTTTCTGAAAGCTTTTGAAATTCTGCATCGCCTCAGGTATTACTGGAATAAACAAAAACACCAGTGAGAATAGTTACTCTATACCACAAATGTATGTATTCAGATCCATGATCAGAATATTATATATTTTATGTCCATCTATATAAAAAAATATGACTTCATATCGGTCATCAGTATTAAAAATTGACTGCAAAAAACATTTATTTGATAGAACGTAAAGCTAATCAAGTGAAAAATGTTCTATTGAATACAGATATTTGAAGCATATCTTAATGTATTTATTTATAGACATTCCTCTAAGCATGTCTGGTCTCACGAGAAATTATGTAACCGAATTTTTTACTATATTTAGAACCAATGAGCTGTTAGCTTCAAAAGTACGTATGCAGCTTTTTCAAGTGTTTTTGTGTTTTTGAAAAAATGTGTCATGTCAAACCTTTTAAGGTTTTAGCAAAATCTACTTTTATCTCGAGCTTTCTCTTCTGGCTCAAAAGATGGCTCTACTCACACAAAAAAGGAGTTTCTTTAACATCAAAACGGCAGTTGTTTTGATATGATTATGGCCGTCAATGAGAAATTACGCCAGTAAAATAATGCTATTGAACACTTACCATCCAGAACAAATACTAAGATAGACAAAAACTAATCTATACGTTATCGTCTATAACTCTGCTCATTCCGACTTGTCTCGAATTGTAAAAAAACAGATATTACCTTTCTTCTCCAAATTAGACACTATTGTCACTTAACACCACTCAAAATAAAGACAACGACACCTTATTATATAAAAACAAGTCTACTGTTCAATCATGGACTGAGATAGATCTAGAAACAAAAACCTATATTAGCTATTTAAATTAAACTTTCGATTTAACTTCTCATAGATAAATCTAGACGAGCAAATTTTCATTTATTATTGAAAAAAATCACCTCGTTTAGCTACTTATTGACAGGAATTTAAACGACAAGAAAACAAATTTATTATTGAGTATTATTGAAATTCAATTTATCATTTAAATTAAATTCACCATTTAGCTGTTGATTGAAAGGAATCTAAAATAAACCAAAACAAGCTTATTATTGAAATCCAGATTACCATTTAACTTATCATGAGATGAACGTAAAGGAAAAAAAGTAAATTTGTTATTGAATACAGATCTACAAGTCAATTGTTTATAAGACGAATTCAAAAGAAGAAAAAATTTTTTATTAGGTCTTGTTTCCAGCTAATTCAGCTTAGTTCAAGTGACTTACACTGGAACCATCTGTATAAAAGAAGTTCAGCATAAAAAACAAGGTACAAGATCGAACTCGTCTGAACATCTAGATTTCCTTTTATCTGACACGGTTTTTTAAATGATATAGAATCTTTGATGGTTACATGAATGAAATCTTTAAAGTTTCAGCATATTCTTTAAAATCACGAAGGGTTTCTGATGACACCTTATTTTTTCAGAGAGTGACATAACAACAAAATTCAATTCATCATGCAGTATTTTAGCAGCAGTTGTTTCAATTTAAAGTTGATAGAATGATATATCAGGTGATGATACTTTAAACTTTATTTTAACTATTCTTCTCCATTCTTGATGTGATTTTCATTATTGAACATAAAGAAAATGAAAAAAACAAGACAAGGTATCTATGAAAAATCAAGTTCTGAATAATCAATTGTTTATCAAGACTTAGTCAACACATTAAATGATCGCACCATAATCAATGAACCATGATAAATAGCTTTTTTTACATGTTCATTAGTTAATACCGATTGTTGTTAAACACATAATGAAAGAAGATCTACAATTCATGAAACATAGCTTATTTTATTCAGGAAATTTTTCTTCAAAATATAGACAAAATTTTATTCGACCAGGTTTCAATCCTGCAGATATGATCGATTTGTTATTTTATCTTATTTCAAACGCAGAAAACACTCCTAAATGACGAAAAATATTTCTTATTACAACTGAACTATATCACAAATCGACAGGAAAAACGGACAAACAAAAGATATAAAACAAAAGATTAAGTATTCAATAAAGAATTATAATGCGATTAGGTAGAGAGACATTCATCATCCATGCTCTAACGGTAACTACAACTCATTTCCATTTTATCATAACAGTTGTAAAGCTCCATTGGTGATAGTACATTGCTTGACAAAAGAATGTATATCAAATGCTGAAAATTAAGTAAATCGATGTCTTCGCTACCAGAGATGTCCATCGCGCCGCTGCCGCTACCGCCGTGGCGGTGGCGGCGCGGCAGCGGCAGATTTTTTCCAAAAACTATCGCGGCGCGGGAGAGATTTTTATTTTGCCGTCGCGGCAGCAGCGCGGCGGCGGCAGCTTTTTAGGACAAAATTTCAAAAATTCATTAATTTGCACAGAATCTGCATGTTTATGGTATGCTATACTGTAAGACTTAGCGAATCTGATCGATTAGCGGCATCAGTTCTATTTCAAACCAGTCAAAGCCTTGAAAATCAAAACATTTTTTCGAATACCAGCGCGGCAGCGGCAAGTTTTTTTAAGGCGCGTCGCGGCAGCGGCGCGGTAGCTTTTTTTAACAGGCCATCACGTCGCGGAAGCGGCAGATTTTGAGCCCCGATGGACATCTCTGTTCGCTACTAGACTAGTTATTTTTCAAAAATACTCTTTCGGTCTATTATCTCATTTTGAGATTCATTTGTTCAATTTATAAGTTAAACAGAAACCTATACCTAGGTGAATTTCACTGTGATGAGTATCAATGTTTCATTCGCTTGAAACTTACAATTTTGCTTAATTATATATTCTTTCATGACATTTTCATCTTTATTTTGTTATTTACATCTTCAAAGATGAAACATTGTACTGCCCACAAATGTAAGAAAACAAATTTTCTTGTTTTTGGTAAGGACAGTGTACATTTTTCATAAAATATGCTTAAAAATGACCTTCCATTTTCTATGATATTTAATTCTCATAAAATATTGTAACCTGATTATTATGTTGAAATCATTTTGTCATTTGCGCAATCTAAGATATACAGTTGATTTCGTCTTTGAACAACATCATGCAACACTGCATAGATCTTAGCAAATATTTCCATAGTGTGAAGAGAATTATTTCAAAGTCATAGACAAATCGAAGTCATCATCAACTAGTTGTCAACAAAATTCTTGGAAATACTTTATATCAGATGTGTTACAGGGCCCCTAGACTATAGCGAAGATTTATGCTATATAAATAACTTTTTGCTGATTGACCAAAAGCTTCATCCTCTCTTCAACTTCTTTATTATTTAAATGTCTCAACTATTCATCTATTTCTAACACATGCATAAAGTAAACAGAGAAAAAACACAAAAGTAGAAAATAAAGAGAGAGGTATAGCAGATATTGTTCTCCTCTCTAGATAATAAACAACATCACTTCAGGCATCGTCTTTCCAAATGCACTTCACCTTGAGAATAGGAGAAAATGTTGAGTATGTATTAAAATTACCAAGGTCGAAAAGGAAAGCAAAAAGAAGAGAAAGAAAGTAAGAGAGTGGGAAAGTAAAGAAAAAAGCATTCAGATATATGTGCAAGAGTGAATAACGCATAATAGAGGATGAATACACACATACATATACATACAACAAAAATAAAGAAAAAATAAAAATAAACAATGAATGTTATTCGAATACTCTCTTACACGACGCTATGATTAATAGTATACAATACTAGAAATTATTCTGCAATCGATGAAATAGGAGAAGAAATTCATTGTGAAACAAAAATATTATCTTACTCGTATACTCAAACAAATGTCTTATGATACATTTTTCCTTTGTTCAAAAACTGTCTTAGATAATGAAAACAGCAATTATTCAGTATGTTTAATGCATT